CTACATTTACTTGCGCATTACATTTATAAATTTATACTCTATCTTACAAAAATATATTAAAAAACCCTTATATACTGATATTAGATTACTAATATTAGTAATTCTATTTTTGTCACAGGTATATGTGTAATCACTTAATTCTGAAAATGTTGATAATTCGTTCACGAACTTCTTCACCAGTTTCCACAGCCAGATCTTNGATTATTCTTGGCTGTTCTTCATCAATTTCATCATAAAATAGCTCGGGCTCTGGAAGTCTCCATTGCANAGCTATATTGTGCAAAACACAGGCAGCATTCACTATCCGAGCTAAAATTAAAAATATGTATGCAATATTTACACTTATCGTGATTAATGTATACATTATATATATACTTGATAATACATAATATCAATCATACCTGCAACTTCTGACAAGACACTGTGTATATCTTGCTGATGGCGTTCCTTCAGGTACGTCACGTATCGGTGTCATTAAATATGGCAATAATGGATACGCACTATCACCTGTAAACAAAACAATGGAATTTATTATACGCTGAAAAATAATAATACTAAGTCAGAAAGTGAAAAAATACTAAACTACNAAAATACATTGTTACCTAAAAGCCAAGCATCTCTTAGTCCTGCATTATACTTCTCTTCTAAATGGTTGGATACACGAGATGATCGCCANACTCTAGCATCATGTGTTCTTCCACCATGAGCAGCATTTACCGTTAAAATTTTACCTTCATAATCGGAAACCTAAAAAATCACAAAACTATTAAGTTAATGTACCATTCATCATTAACTAACAGACTTGAATGGATTGCNATATTCATAATTAGTTTACCAAGAGTATTTATAGTATCTTCCCTATAAGCACATAATATTATTTAATATCAAGTAATATTCTGAGAGTATTTTCGGAATATTAAACATAATATTCTAATATTATTATTTAATTAAATAATATTGTTTAAACATTCTTAGAGTGTGAATATACATAGTTATATGTCTACTTCAAATNATATCCTCTGGAATTTTATTTTATTATCCTTAAAATATTATAAAAATGTTTTTAAAATATTAGTCTAATCAAAAAATTGATGTTTATATAATAATCTAGAGATATTATCACAATATTTTATAATAGTATATCAATATCTTGAGAATATTATATAAACATCATTTTATACTTAGTAAATGTTTTCACAATATTTTTCAATATATAGAATGTTTTTTTTTA